AATTCATGAATACAATCGATATAAATTGGTCGTCACCGTTTCAATTGCACGTAACATCATAGCACTTCGGTACATTAACTTAATTATCAGTTTTATTAGCGCGTGCTCGGGCTTATAATCCAAATTAGTGTCCAAGTTTCTCGTAATATGCATTCGAGACCGCGCGCTTTCATTTTAAACGACGCGTAAAACAAGATAAATGATAATAAATAAAGCTGGCCAGCGTTCAAAGCAGCCTGACGCGCATCTAGGCTAAAACGTACGTTTGAGGCTCTGATCGTACAACCCTGTCGTGCTTGGCAACTGCGCTCCCTGCCTTTTCATCTCGACTCTACCGCTCAAATGGCCCTGTAAACATCTCCAGCGGGGCTCACGGTGGGACCGCGCCCCTTTCTACCTCAGGCTCTTCTGAATTTTATTGTTTTTTCTTCCATGAAGAATCGCCGCGGCTGTCGATCGCCACTGGCCGAAAAATCGAAAATATCGCGCACCGTGGAAGGCCTGTCGGCTTTCGACAATTGATTTCACCGGCCTTTTTACGCCCGTAAGCGCCTTTTAGGGGCCGAAAACATCACTATGAAATTGACTTGTATTGACTTTCCCCCATATACTCTTTCGCATTTTTACGAGTTATGAAATGCATTGCTTTTGGAATGTGTTAATTTGAGAGATTGAATCGTACAGCGTTCAAGGGTTTTACTTAATTTTTTTTTTTATTACGGTTTTTCCATGTTTATAAATTGCAGCGTCGTTATTCTTTTTTCGTACTTTCTTTGCTTTTTCCATTGCGCAAGGCTATCTTTGATACGAATCCTCATTATTATTCTGTGATAATTTATGCGGACAACCTATGAAATTGCTTTTCAATTTAAATTTCTAACAGTAATTCGGCATTTTCCTTGAGCGTGCGATATTATCATTTTTTTTTTTTTTTTTTTTTTTTTTTTTTTTTTTTTTGTTTATATTATCTACACCTATTTTAAGAACCCTCGGCTTTATGAACAGTTATTAACAAAATTCATTCGATGAAATTTCCCTGGAAAGCTATAAGATTATTAGCATACGCGAGATACCCACAATTTATAAGATAATCAAGAAAAAAAAAAAGCACAAGTTTTTAAAACAAATACATGTGAAAAAAATTAATCAAGTTTACAAAAACTCCGGCACAATCTATTATTGATAATATAAGTATAAGTAAAAGAAATGATGTGTTTAAAATTAACTGGCCTATATCGATATCTGGTACGTGCATATATATATATATATATATATATATATATACACACATTCATATAGTAATCATAGCGAATAGTCAAAGCCCCGAGAAAACGAGCCTAGGATTAGATTGACAGATTTGGAGGTTATAATCATTCGATATACATTCTCTCGTTTTCTTCGTATATTTATCTGCAATTCACATAATTAATTAGTATATTAAGAAAGACAGATTTTTTTTTAATACAAACTAATCTTCTGGTTATATATTACCAAAGATCGGATAAGGAAATATAAAAGAAAAATTCGTGCCTGCAAAATGTCGATTTCCAGGCGATAAGCCAATCATTAGCATATTTCTTCCTCCATATATAATTCTGATAACGGTTGTTATTACCACAGTTCGACATACTAAAAACAAACGCCTTAACATTGGCTATTTGCGTCGGTGATAAATACTTTCATCCGACAAGCCTATAAATTGAATAGAAAAAACTTGCACAACAAATCGTGGAATTGCCGTAAGAAGAATAATTTTTGTTTGTTTTACTCCATACCCCCGTACAAGTAAACACGTACTTATTACAAATTCTATTAAAAATCTCACTCCTTGAAAAATCTCGTACCAACTCGGAAGCTAAAAACGTATATCAACTTGGGCCACTTCATTGCTGCAGAAGTACGAGATTTTTTGTTTTGCATTTTTTTTGTTTTTTTTTTTGTTTTTTTTTTTTGTTTTTTATGTTTTATTTTTTATAAAATCGCAGAGCACTCATTGAAAGATTAACGTGCATTTCGTAAAAAAGAATGAAGAGCCATGCACTGCAACAATTTCAGCCGCTGGTAGGTAGCAACTCGTTGGCGCGAATCAACGCACTTCGCATCAACGGTGTTGTTATTTCGAGGTCGTACGATCGATTTTTGGGCATTAGGCGACCCAAAGATGAAGAATCGCATCGACGTGCTGAATTGCCTTCGTTCCAATGCGAACTCTTGCGTAGTCTTTATTTGCCTCTTGCCTCGCGATTTGAATAGAGACTATTTCAATAACAATAATAATAACAGTAATAACAACAACAATAACGATCATAACAATAAGAGTAATAATTACTATAAACAACAACAACAACAACAACAACAACAACAGCAACAACAACAACAATAGGCATCATAATGCTTTTAGAATATAGTTAGGATATTTAATAAGGATAGTACACTACACTATTTTACTATTTTTAATAATATTTTACGGGATGAGGATGAAAGTGGCATTATTGAATAGACGTCAATTATTATATTAAAACATATCGATTTCCAACTTTCCTTGTCACAATTCAATCATTTCAAATTCTATTATTGATATTAATTGAGAACAGTAGTTACAAATGAAGATCCAAGTCGAGATTTTGTCGTCTAACAATTTCTTGAGTTTCAACGTTTTCTTTTTTTTTTTTTTTTTTTGATCGATAGAACAATGATCGAAGCATAAATTTTGTCGCATATCTTCTTGAAGAACTTTATAATCTTCCTTCGAGTGAAATTGATTTTACAAATATGAATAATTACTATTTGGCAAATGTACAAACGCCACGTACCATATCCATACTTCTTTTCAAACAACTTTTCAATAAAATTTATTGCACGTAATGATTAAATTTGTTTAAAAAAATTTCACTTAAAAAAGTATAAAGTACTATTTAACTTAAGCAATAAATAATGCTGCGATAACAAATGCTGTTTTAATGAATATCGAATGAATTTTACATAAAATATTGCACAGTATTGTAAATTTAATAATGTATTGTAAAAATTGTATTATGGTCCAACATTCTCTGATTATTATTGTTGTTTCAGGCTTCATTCTTTCTTTAAACAGAACGGAATTAAATTTTTTTTTTTTTAATTTTTAAAGGTATTGCTTATTGCAATAAAAATTACAAACTCTCCGATAATATTGTTAATTTTGAAACTAAGTAGAGTCATAAATTCACGTTAGTGCTGTAAGCATGAGAAAAATGTCGCCAGTGTCACAGTAGCATTGTAAAAATCATTAATAAATCGGTAAACGAACTGTAAAGATCAATTCGTCGCTTATATTGTAGTTAAGATAGTCTCTGTAAAAATTAAAAATCTAATTCTAATTACAATTATCTAATAGCAGAATAAAATAGCCGACGACATTATTTGATAAGCTTTTATATGTTAAATTTTTTTTATTTATTATTATTTTTTTTTTTTTTTTATACAATTTATGAATCGTACATTCGTACAAACTAAGAGAAATTACTAGAGATGGGACATTGACTGAGAGTCTGTTGGATAACCTATAGATAAAACGAGATATAAATAGCAGCGGATCATTATTAATGCGATATCTATTGTTCTTTGACCTCGATGCTGGCAATGCTTAAAATTAGTGCGAGTCTGCTGAATTTATAGAAACGTTCATACTTGCTTATCATTATATTTAAATTCATGACGTTTATCATTCCACCATGTGCTTACGTTATTGTAGATATTTTAATTATATCGCACCTCCTCGAGAAAAGGAAGGGGCGTTCTTTATCTCTTTTTCGAATTCGTTGATGGGTAAATTCAATACTGCGAACTCGCGTATCACAAGCTTTTAATTTGTAATTTGAAGGTTTAGAACGTCATAGATTGATTTGACGATAAAAGAGGATTAAATTATATCGCATGTGATTTATTTGATTCATTTCATTTGCGCCAAATGCTCAAAGCATTGATTCAACATTAAATTTAATTTTAAATTTAATTGCGGACTGTGTTGCGAAACATTTAATGTGTGCCTCATTACAAAATCAGAGCATGATCGTATAAAAATATCATGCGTATTTTGGAAAACTTTGAAAGGCAATAATTTTTTTCAAAATAATTTTCATCTGACTCACTGGCCCCTCTGTAATGCCTAAATTTAGTATGTTTCAATTATTAAACAATCCGATGTACTTTTTAGCCCTGACATTTCTACATACACGCGATTAGCAATGATCATTACAAAAGCAGTTACGCTATTTATTAAAAATTATGACGTTTTATGGCATGAAGTATTTTGATACGTAATAAATATCGTAATGAATATTGATAAGCGTGTAGAAAAGGAATTCGCACAAGGGAATTTTGATTAAATTCTGTAAAATAATTCGGACTCTAATAATCGATTACTGACAAAATAAAATTATCATTAATCGTGCGAGTGATTAGCTACGCTAATTTGATTAATAAGAATATATACGCAATTAACGAGGCGGCTGCGCTATGAATAGTGAATATCAAAATCCCAAAATGTCATAAGCCTTAGATTTATCGAATAGTCATTGCTTTCAAATGTCTCTCGTGTAACCGCCACGTCTAACCCCGAACAATATAAAAATTGATCCCTGTCTCATTAAATGCACGGTAATTGCCATCCAACGTTATCATTCATAACCAAGCTACAATACAATTATGGCCAAGAGAGCCCGTCGCCTAGTCAAACCTGATACGCAACATTAATCACACGAAAATCTATTAGAATATCCGCGGCGGTAAAGCCGACATTGGCCCAGCAACATTTTCACGCTCTCATTTTTCTCTGTTTCAGGTATGTATCCCGAGCGCTCGACAGGAGCCGAATGCCACACAGAGCGAAGGCAACAAAAGTCAAAAAAAAATCGACAAACTCACGCGAGCCAAGTAGGTAAGAGCAACATCCTCGTGGCGCTCGCCCACGCCTGGAGGCTAATTAGAAAAAGCAATCACGCCCGAAGTCCTAAGTAGCCATGCGCTTACCACCATCCACCACCATCCACCACCATCCACCACCATCCACCACCATCCACCACCATCCACCACCATCCACCACCATCCACCACCATCCACCACCATCCACCACCATCCACCACCATCCACCACCATCCACCACCATCCACCACCATCCACCACCATCCACCACCATCCACCACCATCCACCACCATCCACCACCATCCACCACCATCCACCATCATCCCAGCCCACTCCCAGCCACACGAGAGCGTTGGCTGACCCCAGCCTTCGAAGCCGACGTGGCCACCGAGTAAAGGGCACGACGATACACATCGACGGCCCCGAGACGTTTACGAGGCATAGGTGCTAACGCCCCCGGCATTCTGCGTTTCGTGGAACACGGGGGTAAAAGTGTGAAAAGCCATTCTTCGATGGTTAAGGGACGTCGAGATATTCCGTATGCCGCACGCGACCCCATCCGACGTTTACCTCGCCGGGAAACAAATGCCAATGGCCGTGTGCGGCTTTGTGGGTCCCGGAAGCGCCGCCTCGTCACGAGGCGTCTTCTTCATCTCATCACGAATACGTAATATGGAAGATGTTAGGTGGGCACGTATGTCCGTCGACCGTGGAAGAGAATTATTATGCCGGGAGAAATTTGTTTTGCGCGCGTGTCAATCTCATCGTAAATTATGGCTGGACTACGAGCGCTCTCCCTTCCTCGGGTCACCGACGCTTCGCATCTTACATTCCGTTAATGCCCCCGAGTGCGTTCGCTCGAACTTTTCACAAGAATTCGGCCCTACCCAATGACGCGTGAAAGGACAATCTAATTTCTATCCCCGTCTGCCCATTAGCGTATGAAAAGAATATGCAATTGATCTTGATATTGTGTAAGCGCTGAGCACTTGATTTATTCGCTTTTATTGTTATAATGAGAGTGCATTCGGTGTGGCATGGAGATACCGATATTACGGTGGACAAAAACGTGACTGAATTAAAATCGATGCCTTCCCATCTCATTTTTCATTTTATCGCGGCACACAATTACATTAGCCGCGCACTGTACGTCCCTGGCAAATTAAAAATTCATGGAATAAATCAAAATCCGAGTCCAAGGCAGTGCCATTTTTATGTTAAGCCGCCTAGCCTGCCTCGTTATATTTCCCGCAAGCTCCTAACAGCCTTGATCAATGACCCGAAATGCCATAGATCGTGCCGTAAAAACATCCTTAACGAACGATTGTGACACTCCGTCATGGAAATGTGCGCCTCCTCCGGAAGGAGCTGGCCGATGGGATAAGTGGGGGACTAAGGAGACGCGAGCAGCAATGTTGTCTCCCCTCGAATTATATCGTTATTCGGGCGCGACGTTGCTAGCGTCGTCGGAGCTTTCAATCAAGCTTTCTTTGGCCGGATAAAGGCACTTTACGACTCCTCGGCCGGTTTAACAGTGGCACGGCCGTCCGTTTCCCCGTGAACGGGGATGCGACTTCCCGGACGCGACCGATCCGCGAGACGTCACCAAATTACCAAGGATTTGCGTGATCGAGTGTTATGCATAGGCGCGGGTATATCGAGTCCTCGGTGCCTCGACTTCCCCCTCGGCTTCCTACACCCGTAAATGAGACCTCCCGTAGCATATAAATCGCCCTTACCTGCCCCAGTCGTCCTCGCGATAAACTGCCGCCGGAATTCACGGGCTCGCGTGGCATTTTGCTATTATTTTCAAGACAGTCGAGGGTCGCGACTCTGTCTTTTATACGCGGGGGATTCTTTATTATCGGAACCAACCGAAGCTCGCGGGATCGCGTTGGGACTTAGGGGCCATACGGACAGGCCACGAAAGCACTCGCAAATCTAAACTCCGGGCACGAGAATAGGTATGGGTTTAGTAGCGTTGTCCTGGTCTGGGCAGGGCTGGGAATGGCGAGGGGTTGAGGGAGGGAAGGGTCGAGAGAGGCAGGTTGACGTCCCTCGGCAGGAAGGCGTTATTCGTAGGACCGATAATAACGAGCACAACTTTCCTGGTGGTGGTCCGGCCAATTGCATATGCATACGCAGTGCCATGGCGACGCTCGCGTCGTACACAACATAAATAGGCCGCCCGGTCTTCCCTCCCGAAACACAAAAATGGAAGCTCCCGGGGGAGGCCCGATGATGTACGCGACCGGAACCGAATGTCGCGAGGCCCTCGGGGCCGTCTCGACCGACGCTCGACGATAAGATCGCTGCCTGATTCCCTTCTCTCCCCCCCCCCTAACCGCCACCGCCGCCACTCTCGACCCACAGCCCTTGGTCGCAGGGGG